TCCACACATCTAGGGCTATCCATCCTGGGGCCATCCGCCTCTGTCTATCCACATATCCATCCTAGGGCTATCCAGTGCCTCTGTCTATCCACATATCCATCCTAGGGCTATCCGTGCCTCTGTCTATCCACATATCCATCCTAGGGCTATCCGTTACCTCTGTCTATCCATCCTACATATCATCCTCCCATAGGGCTATCCATGCCTCTGTCTATCCACATATCCATCCTAGGGCTATCCGTGCCTCTGTCTATCCACATATCCATCCTAGGCTATCCGTGCCTCTGTCTATCCACACATCCATCCCCTAGGGCTATCCGTGCCTCTGTCTATCCACATATCCATCCTAGGGCTATCCGTGCCTCTGTCTATCCACATATCCATCCTAGGGCTATCCGTGCCTCTGTCTATCCACATATCCATCCTAGGGCTATCCGTGCCTCTGTCTATCCACATATCCATCCTAGGGCTATCCACGCCTCTGTCTATCCACATATCCATCCTAGGGCTATCCGCGCCCCTCTGTCTATCCACATCCATCCTAGGGCTATCCGTGCCTCTGTCTATCCACATATCCATCCTAGGGCTATCCGCCTCTGTCTATCTATCCATCCTATATCCACTGTTCATCCAACATATCCATCCTCTGTCTATCCGTGCCTAGGGCCTCCATCTATCCACATATCCATCCTAGGGCTATCCATTTCTCTGTCTATCCACATATCCATCCTAGGGCTATCCATGCTCTGTCTATCCACATATCCATCCTAGGGCTATCCGCGCCTCTGTCTATCCACACACTATCCATCCTAGGGCTATCCGTGCCTCTGTCTATCCACATCCATCCATCCCACATCCATCCTAGGGCTATCCGTGCCTCTGTCTATCCACATATCCATCCCTGAGGCTATCCGTGCCTCTGTCTATCCACATATCCATCCTAGGCTATCCGTGCCTCTGTCTATCCACATATCCATCCCTAGGGCTATCCATTGCCTCTGTCTATCCACATATCCATCCTAGGGCTATCCCTATCCACATATCCATCCTAGGGCTATCTATCCTGTCTATCCACATATCCATCCTAGGGCTATCCGTGCCTCTGTCTATCCACATATCCATCCTAGGGCTATCCGCGCCTCTGTCTATCCACATATCCATCCTAAAGGCTATCCGCGCCTCTCTATCCACATATCCATCCCTAGGGCTATCCGTGCCTCTGTCTATCCACATATCCATCCTAGGGCTATCCCGTGCCTCTGTCTATCCACATATCCATCCTAGGGCTATCCGTGCCTCTGTCTATCCACATATCCATCCTAGGGCTATCCATTGCCTCTGTCTATCCACATATCCATCCCTAGGGCTATCCGTGCCTCTGTCCATCCATATCCATCCATCCTGTCCGTGCCCTGTCTATCCACATATCCATCCCTAGGGCTATCCATTGCCTCTGTCTATCCACATATCCATCCTATATCCCACGCCTCTGTCTATCCACATATCCATCCTAGGCTATCCATGCCTCTGTCTATCCACATATCCATCCTAGGGCTATCCCCGTGCCTCTGTCTATCCACATATCCCATCCTAGGCTATCCATTGCCTCTGTCTATCCACATATCCATCCTAAGGCTGTCCGTTATCTCTGTCTATCCACATATCCATCCTGGCTATCCATTGCCTCTGTCTATCCACATCCATCCTAGGGCTATCCATTTTCTGTCCAATATCCATCCTAGGGCTATCCATCCACATATCCATCCTAGGCTATCCGTGCCTCTGTCTATCCACATATCCATCCACATCCATCCTAGCCTCCCGCCTCTATCCACATATCCTCTATCCGGGCCTCTATCCACATATCCATCCCCCCTGGGCTATCCATTGCCTCTGTCTATCCACATATCCATCCTAGGCTATCCGTGCCTCTGTCTATCCACATATCCATCCCATCCACATCCATCCTAGGGCTATCCATTGCCTCTGTCTATCCACATATCCATCCCTAGGGCTATCCGTGCCTCTGTCTATCCACATATCCATCCTAGGCTATCCGTGCCTCTGTCTATCCACATATCCATCCTAGGGCTATCCGTGCCTCTGTCTATCCACATATCCATCCTAGGGCTATCCGTGCCTCTGTCTATCCACATATCCATCCTAGGGCTATCCAGCCTCTGTCTATCCACATATCCATCCTAGGGCTATCCGTTGCCTCTGTCTATCCACATATCCATCCTAGGGCTATCCGTGCCTCTGTCTATCCACATATCCATCCTAGGGCTATCCATTGCCTCTGTCTATCCACATATCATCCTATCCACATCCATCCTAGGGCTATCCGCGCCTCTGTCTATCCACATATCCATCCTAGGGCTATCCGCGCCTCTGTCTATCCACATATCCATCCTAGGGCTATCCGCGCCTCTGTCTATCCACATATCCATCCTAGGGCTATCCGCGCCTCTGTCTATCCACATATCCATCCTAGGGCTATCCGCGCCTCTGTCTATCCACATATCCATCCTAGGGCTATCCGCGCCTCTGTCTATCCACATATCCATCCTAGGGCTATCCATTGCCTCTGTCTATCCACATATCCATCCTATATCATCCTGTCTATCCACATATCCATCCTATCATCCGTGCCTCTGTCTATCCACATCCATCCCTATCCATCCCTAGGGCTATCCGTGCCTCTGTCTATCCACATATCCATCCTAGGGCTATCCAGCCTCTGTCTATCCACACATATCCATCCTAGGGCTATCCGTGCCTCTGTCTATCCACATATCCATCCTAGGGCTATCCGTGCCTCTGTCTATCCACATATCCATCCTAGGGCTATCCGTGCCTCTGTCTATCCACATATCCATCCTAGGGCTATCCGTGCCTGTCTATCCACATATCCATCCTAGGGCTATCCACCTCTGTCTATCCACATATCCATCCTGGGGCTATCCGTGCCTCTGTCTATCCACATATCCATCCTAGGGCTATCCCGTGCCTCTGTCTATCCACATATCCATCCTAGGGCTATCCATTGCCTCTGTCTATCCACATCCATCCTAGGGCTATCCGCCTCTGTCTATCCACATATCCATCCTAGGGCTATCCGTGCCTCTGTCTATCCACATATCCATCCTAGGGCTATCCCTCAGCCTCTGTCTATCCACATATCCATCCCTAGGGCTATCCGTGCCTCTGTCTATCCACATATCCATCCTAGGGCTATCCCGCCTCTGTCTATCCACATATCCATCCTAGGGCTATCCGTGCCTCTGTCTATCCACATATCCATCCCAGGGCTATCCATCCACACCTCTGTCTATCCACATATCCATCCTGGGCTATCCGTGCCTCTGTCTATCCACATATCCATCCCTAGGGCTATCCGCGCCTCTGTCTATCCACATATCCATCCTAGGGCTATCCGCCTCTGTCTATCCACATATCCATCCTAGGGCTATCCGTGCATCTGTCTGTCACATATCCATCCTAGGGCTATCCATTGCTGTCTATCCACATATCCATCCTAGGGGCATCCGCCTCTGTCTATCCACACATCCATCCTAGGGCTATCCGTGCCTGTCTATCCACATATCCATCCTAGGCTATCCATCCCTATATCCATCCTAGGCTATCCGTGCCTCTGTCTATCCACATATCCCATCCTAGGGCTATCCGTGCCTCTGTCTATCCACATATCCATCCTGGGGCTATCCGGGTCTATCCATCCTAGGGCCTCTGTCTATCCACATATCCATCCCTAGGGCTATCCGTGCCTCTGTCTATCCACATATCCATCCCAGGGCTCCGCGCCCTATCCATTGCCTCTGTCTCCATCCACATATCCATCCTAGGGCTATCCGCCACTCTGTCTATCCACATATCCATCCTGCATCCTCCCGGGTCTATCCACATTCCCTCTGTCCATCCACATATCCATCCTAGAGGTCTATCCGTGCCTCTGTCTATCCACATATCCATCCTAGGGCTATCCGTGCCTCTGTCTATCCACATATCCATCCCTAGGAGCTATCCACACATCCATCCCAGGGCCTCTGTCTATCCACATATCCATCCTAGGGCTATCCGGTCTATCCACATATCCATCCCATCCGTGCCTCTGTCTATCCACATATCCATCCTAGGGCTATCCATGCCTCTGTCTATCCACATATCCATCCTAGGGCTATCCGTGCCTCTGTCTATCCCAGGGCATATCCATCCCTAGGCTATCCGTGCCTCTGTCTATCCACATATCCATCCCCTAAGGCTATCCATTGCCTCTGTCTATCCACATATCCATCCTAGGGCTATCCCATGCCTCTGTCTATCCACATATCCATCCAGGGCTATCCCTGTCTATCCACATATCCATCCCCCTAGGGCTATCCCCTCTGTCTATCCACATATCCATCCATCCTCCGCGCCTCTGTCTATCCATCCATTATCTGTCTATCCACATATCCATCCTAGGGGCTATCCGTGCCTGTCTATCCACATATCTCCTAGGGCTGTCTATCCACATATCCATCCTAGGGCCTATCCATATCCATCCTAGCCTCTGTCTATCCACATATCCATCCTAGGGCTATCCCGTGCCTCTGTCTATCCACATATCCATCCTAGGGCTATCCGTGCCTCTGTCTATCCACATATCCATCCTAGGGCTATCCCCATTTCTGTCTATCCACATATCCATCCTAGGGCTATCCGTGCCTCTGTCTATCCACATATCCATCCTAGGGCTATCCATGCCTCTGTCTATCCACATATCCATCCATCCCTAGGGTCTATCCGTGCCTCTGTCTATCCACTGTTCTATCCCTACATATCCATCCCTGAGGCTATCCGCCGCCTCTGTCTATCCACATATCCATCCTAAGGCTATCCATTCTATCCTCTGTCCATCCACATATCCATCCTATCCCACATATCCATCCTATATCCCGTGCCTCTGTCTATCCACATATCCATCCTAGGGCTATCCCATGTCTATCCACATATCCATCCTGTCTCTGTCTATCCACATATCCATCCTAGGGCTATCCGTGCCTCTGTCTATCCACATATCCATCCTAGGGCTATCCATTGCCTCTGTCTCTGTCTCCTGGGGCTCCACATATCCATCCCTAGGGCTATCCAGGGCTGCCTCTGTCTATCCACATATCCATCCTAGGGCTATCCATGCCTCTGTCTATCCATCCTATCCATCCATCCTCCACATCCTATCCCAGTGCCATCCGCGTCTGTCCATCCACTTATCCATCCTAGGGCTATCCATTGCCTATCCATTCCATCCTATCCTTCATCCTAGGGCTATCCCGTGCCTCTGTCTATCCACATATCCATCCTAGGGGCTATCCGTTGCCTCTGTCTATCCACATATCCATCCCTAGGGCTATCCATTACCTCTGTCTATCCACATATCCATCCTATCCTAGGCTATCCACATATCCATCTGTCTATCCACATATCCATCCTAGGGCTATCCGTGTCCACTCTGTCTATCCCACATTATCCCATCCTAGGGCTATCCATCCATCCTAGGGCTCTGTCTATCCACATATCCATCCTAGGGCTATCCGTGCTCTGTCTATCCATATCCATCCTGCTCTGTCTATCCATCCCAGGGCCATCCTCGTGCCTCTGTCTGTCCACATATCCATCCTAGGGCTATCCGTGGCCTCTGTCTATCCACACATCCATCCCAGGGCCCTCCGTGCCTCTGTCTATCCACATATCCATCCCTAGGGCTATCCGTGCCTCTGTCTATCCACATATCCATCCTAGGGCTATCCCGTGCCTCTGTCTATCCACATATCCATCCTACTCTGTCTATCCTGGACTATCCATTGCCTCTGTCTATCCACATATCCATCCCTAGGGCTATCCGTTGCCTCTGTCTATCCACATATCCATCCTAGGGCTATCCATGCCTCTGTCTATCCACATATCCATCCTAGGGCTATCCAGTGCCTCTGTCTATCCACATATCCCATCCTAGGGCTATCCATTGCCTCTGTCTATCCACATATCCATCCCTAGGGTCTATCCGGCTGCCTCTGTCTATCCACATATCCATCCTAGGGCTATCCGTGCCTCTGTCTATCCACATATCCATCCTAGGGCTATCCGTGCCTCTGTCTATCCATCCATCCATCCATCCTAGGGCTATCCATGCCTCTGTCTATCCATCCTAGGGCTATCCGTTATCCATCCTATCCATCCTAGGGCTATCCGTGCCTCTGTCTATCCACATATCCATCCTAGGGCTATCCGTTGCCTCTGTCTATCCACATATCCATCCTAGGGCTATCCGTGCCTCTGTCTATCCACATATCCATCCTAGGGTCTATCCACATATCCATCCTAGGGCTATCCTCTGTCTATCCACATATCCATCCTAGGGCTATCCGTGCCTCTGTCTATCCCACATATCCATCCCTAGGGCTATCCATTTTCTGTCTATCCACATATCCATCCTAGGGCTATCCGCACTTATCTGTCTATCCACATCCATCCTACAATCCAGACCCCACACATCCTCTGTCTATCCACATATCCCATCCCTAGGGCTATCCGTGCCTCTGTCTATCCACATATCCATCCTAGGGCTATCCGTGCTCTGTCTATCCACATATCCATCCTAGGGCTATCCATTTTCTCTGTCTATCCACATATCCATCCCTAGAACTATCCATCCTGGCCTCTGTCTATCCCCACATATCCATCCTAGGGCTATCCGTGCCTCTGTCTATCCACATCCTATCCATCCTAGGAGCTGTCCACATATCCATCCTAGGGTCCATGCCTCCACATCCACACATCCATCCTAGGGCTGTCTATCCCACATATCCATCCTAGGGCTATCCGTTGCCTCTGTCTATCCACATATCCATCCTAGGGCTATCCGTGCCTGTCTATCCACATATCCATCCATCCTAGTCCACATATCCATCCCTAGGCTCTGTCTGTCCATCCACATATCCATCCTAGGGGCTATCCATGCCTCTGTCTATCCACACATCCATCCTAGGGCTATCCATTGCCTCTGTCTATCCACATATCCATCCTAGGGCTATCCGTGCCTCTGTCTATCCACATATCCATCCTAGGGCTATCCGTGCCTCTGTCTATCCACATATCCATCCTAGGGCTATCCCGTGCCTCTGTCTATCCACATATCCATCCCTAGGGCTATCCGTGCCTCTGTCTATCCACATATCCATCCTAGGGCCATCCGTGCCTCTGTCTATCCACATATCCATCCTAGGGCTATCCGTGCCCACTGTCTGCCTCTGTCTCATATATCCATCCCTATCCGTGGTCTATCCACATTCCATCCTAGCCTCTGTCTATCCACATATCCATCCTAGGGCTATCCGTGCCTCTGTCTATCCACATATCCATCCCTAGGGCTATCCGGTGCCTCTGTCTATCCACATATCCATCCCTAGGGCTATCCATGCCTCTGTCTATCCAATATCCCATCCTAGGGGCTATCCGTGCCCCTGTCTATCCACATATCCATCCTAGGCTATCCGTGCCTCTGTCTATCCACATATCCATCCCCTAGGGCTATCCGTGCTCTGTCTATCCACATATCCATCCTAGGGCTATCCACTTGCCTCTGTCTATCCACATCCATCCTAGGGCTATCCGTCTATCCACATATCCATCCTAGGGCTATCCGTGCTCTGTCTATCCACACATATCCATCCCTAGGGCTATCCGTGCCTCTGTCTATCCACATATCCATCCTAGGGCTATCCATTGCCTCTGTCTATCCACACATCCATCCTAGGGCTATCCGTGCCTCTGTCTATCCACATATCCATCCTAGGGCTATCCGTGCCTCTGTCTATCCACATATCCATCCTAGGGCTATCCGTGCCTCTGTCTATCCACATCCATCCTAGGGCTATCCGTGCCTCTGTCTATCCACATATCCATCCTAGGGCTATCCGTTACTCTGTCCATCCACATATCCCATCCCTAGGGCTATCCGTGTTCCCCTGTCTATCCACATATCCATCCTAGGGCTATCCGTGCCTGTCTATCCACATATCCATCCTAGGGGCTATCCGTGCCCCTGTCTATCCACATATCCATCCTAGGGCCATCCGTGCCTGTTCATCCACACATCCATCCCAGGGGCTCATCCTGTGCCTGTTCATCCACACATCCATCCTAGGCCATCCGTGCCCCTGTTCATCCACACATCCATCCTAGGGCTATCCGTGCCTCTGTTCATCCACATATCCATCCCAGGGCTATCCGTGCCTCTGTCCATCCACACATCCATCCTAGGGGCTATCCATTACCTGTCTATCCACACATCCCATCCCTATCCATCCTAGGGCTATCCGTGCCTCTGTCTATCCACACATCCATCCTATCCATCCATCCCAGGGCTCCGTGCCCTGTCTATCCACACCCATCCTAGGGCCATCCGTGCTCTGTCTATCCACATATCCATCCTAGGGCTCTAGGGCCTTCAATTCATCCATCCACATATCCATCCCTAGGGCTATCCACATATCCTCTGTCTATCCACACAGTATCCATCCTAGGGCTATCCGTGCCCCTGTCTATCCACATATCCATCCCTAGGGCTATCCGTGCCTGTTCATCCACACATCCATCCTAGGGGCTATCCATGTCCATCCACACATCCATCCCTAGGCTATCCACACATCCATGTCTATCCATCCACACATCCATCCTAGGGCTATCCGTGCCTCTGTCTATCCATCCTATCCATCCCACACATCCATCCTAGGGCTATCCCACACATCCATCCTAGGGCCTCTGTCTATCCACATATCCATCCTAGGGCTATCCGCCCCTGTTCATCCACACATCCATCCTAGGGCCTCCGGCCTCTGTCCCACATATCCATCCCTAGATCCATTATCCATCCTAGGGTCCTCTGTCTATCCATCCTACATATCCATCCATCCCAGGGCTATCCCCATGCCTCTGTCTATCCACATATCCATCCCTAGGGCTATCCATCCTAGGGCCTCTGTCTATCCACACATCCATCCTAGGGCTATCCGTGCCTCTGTCTATCCACATATCCATCCCAGGGCTATCCAGCCTCTGTCTATCCACATATCCATCCTAGGGCCATCCGTGCCTCTGTCTATCCACACATCCATCCTAGGGCTATCCGTGCCTATCTGTCCATCCATCCCGTGCTCTGCTCAATCCATCCTCTAGGGCTATCCGTGCCTGCTCTATCCACCTATATCCATCCATCCTAGGGCTATCCGTGCCTCTGTCTATCCACATATCCATCCTAGGGGAATATCCGTTACTCTGTCTATCCACATATCCATCCTAGGGCTATCCATGTCTATCCACATATCCATCCTCTATCCACATATCCATCCTAGGGCTATCCATTGCCTCTGTCTATCCACATATCCCATCCCGGGGCTATCCATTACCTCTGTCTATCCACATATCCATCCTAGGCTATCCGTTGCCTCTGTTCATCCACACATATCCATCCTAGGGCTATCCGTGCCCCTGTCTATCCACATATCCATCCTAGGCCATCCGTTTTATCCACATGCCTCTGTCTATCCACATATCCATCCTAGGGCTATCCAGCCTCTGTCTATCCACATCCATCCAGGGCTATCCATTGCCTCTGTCTATCCACATATCCATCCTAGGGCTATCCGTGCCTCTGTCTATCCACATATCCATCCTAGGGCTATCCATGCCTCTGTCTATCCACATATCCATCCTAGGGCTATCCGTGCCTCTGTCTATCCACATATCCATCCTGTCTATCCTCCATCCTAGGGCTAACTGTGCCTCTGTCTCATCCACACATATCCATCCCCCCTAGGGGCTATCCATCCTGTCTCTGTCTATCCACATCCACATCCATCCTAGGGGCTATCCATGCCTCTGTCCTCCACCCTATATCCATCCTCCATCCCAGGGCTATCCGCAGCCTGTTCATCCACATATCCATCCTAGGGCTATCTATCCACATATCCATCCTAGGGCTATCCAGGCTCTGTCTGTCCACACATCCATCCTAGGGCTATCCCGTGTCTCTGTCTATCCACACATCCATCCCTAGGGCTATCCGCCCCTGTCTATCCACATATCCATCCTAGGGCTATCCAGGCCTCTGTCTATCCACATATCCATCCTAGGGCCCTATCCACACATCCATCCTAGGGCTCTGTCTATCCACATATCCATCCCAGGGGCTATCCGTGCCTCTGTTCATCCACACATCCATCCCAGGGGCCATCCGTGCCCCTGTCTATCCACATATCCATCCTAGGGCTATCCGTGCCTGTCTATCCACATATCCATCCTAGGCCATCCGTGCCCCTGTCTATCATATCCATCCCTGGGCTATCCGTCTATCCACACATCCATCCTAGGCTCCACATCCACATATCCATCCTAGGGCTATCCGTGCCTCTGTCTATCCACATATCCATCCTAGGGCTATCCGTGCCTCTGTCTATCCACACATATCCATCCACATCCATCCTAGGGCTATCCGTGCCTCTGTTCATCACATATCCATCCTAGGGCTATCCCTGCTCTGTCTATCCACATATCCATCCTAGGGCCATCCATGCCTCTGTCTATCCACACATCCATCCTAGGGCCATCCGTGCCTCTGTTCATCCACATCCATCCCAGTCTATCCACATATCCATCCTAGGGCTATCCAGCTCTGTCTATCCACATATCCATCCCCAGGGCTATCCATTACTCTGTCTATCCACATATCCATCCTAGGGCTATCCGAGCCTCTGTCTATCCACATATCCATCCTAGGGCCATCCGTGCCCTCTGTCTGTCCACATATCCATCCTAGGGCTATCCGTGCCTCTGTCTATCCACATATCCATCCTAGGGGCCGCGGCCTATCCATATATCCATCCTAGGGCCATCTGTGTCTATCCACATATCCATCCTAGGGCTATCCGTGCCTCTGTCTATCCACATATCCATCCTAGGCTATCCGTGCCTGTCTATCCACACACATCCATCCTCTGTCTATCCACATATCCATCCTAGGGCTATCCGTGTCTATCCACATCTGTCTATCCACATATCCATCCTAGGGCTATCCGTGCCTGTCTATCCACATCCATCCTAGTCCCATATCCACATATCCATCCCCTAGGGCTATCCGGGTCTATCCACACATCCATCCTAGGGCTATCCCGTGCCTCTGTCTATCCACATATCCATCCTCCAGGGCTATCCATTCCATCCCAGGGCCATCTGTCTATCCACATATCCATCCTAGGGCCATCCAGCTGCCTCTGTCTATCCACATATCCATCCTAGGGCCATCCGTGCCTGTCTATCCACACATCCATCCTAGGGCTATCCGTGCCTCTGTCTATCCACATATCCATCCTAGGGCCATCCACGCCCGTCTGTCTATCCACACATCCATCCATCCTAGGGCTATCCGCGCCTATCCATCCTAGTCCTATCCCACATATCCATCCTAGGGCTATCCGTGCCTGTGTCTCCATATCCATCCTACTATCTGTCTATCCACATATCCATCCTAGGGCTATCCATTTTCTGTCTATCCATATCCATCCATCCTAGGGCTATCCGTGCCTCTGTCCATCCACATATCCATCCTAGGGCTATCCGCCCTCATGTCTATCCACATATCCATCC